TTCACTTGATTCGACTTTTTCTTCTTAATATTATTAATATAATTAAATAATAAAAAATATTATGATACATTTTTTTTAAATAAAGTTCACTGTTCATTCACATATTTTCAGTTACCTTATTCTTTACATTCATTATATTATTATTTATCTATCACATTAATTTTAATCATTACATTTTATCATATATTCATTAATAATCTCAAAATTGTCACATTCTTCCACCAGAATAATTTATGGCAAAACTGCATATTAATGCACCATCTTTTGTGTGTTCGCAATTTAATCACCACATTTACAATTTTGTAAATTAATACACCACGTATACCAATTTTACAAATCGATACATAAATGACGGTTCCGTTAGAAAAAAATATAACAAAAATCTGATATGACATTGACGTGGCTCAGTGCCATGCCAGAATTTTGTCAATGGAAACCGGTATTCATGTATCTATTTGCAAAAATGGTAAAGGTGGTGTAATAATTTGTAAAATTGTAAAGGTAGTGATTAAATTACAAAAACACAAAATTTAAAACGGAGTGCTTGCTAATTTTTTTTCTTAAAATTTAAAACAAATGACGAAAAGTAGTTGAAAAGTTAAATATTTTTTATAAAAATATATTATTATATATTATAATATGATACTTGTTCCTTGTGCGACTTACTTATATTACATTATAATAATTTTTCTAACATATATCATATAACTGCATTAAACATAAATATATTAATTGAGAAATTATTTTTATTTTTCTAATTAATGTAATAAATAATTTTATTAATATTTTTAGAGATAAATATAATTTATGTATTTTATATATACAATATAGGTGTCAAATCGAAGCTCATCAAAAGATGATTCATTTGATATATTATATATGCAAAACCGATAAGAAATACGATAGTTATCAACTTTTATAATATATTTAAAAAGTCAGAGATATATTAGTCACTTAGTGTCGCGCACTATGTAAGATTACAAATAATTAAAGAGTTACATTAGTATAAGTGTTATGAAATTCATTGAGTTAACTTAATAATATTTATGGAATGTCTGAATTTAAGTTATGGAATGTCCGAACCTAAAACTATTAATTTATAATATCAATATTAATTGTCCAAACTAAAATACGAAACATGATTTATTGTCAAGTAGGATTTTGAAGAGCAACCACGTAGGCCCAGCGCATTCAGGAATTATATATAAGAGGGATTTGTTCACGGGAGAATGGAATATTCATAAAAAATTGACTAACTTACGGTTTTAAAGCGTCACCTGAATAAAATCCAATCTCTGCTAGCAATTTTTTGAAATTGTTTATTTAAAGAAGATGATTTTGTCACTATAGAAAAATGAAAATATAAAAATAAAAATAAAAATAAAAAATAAAGCAAACATCAATATTGTGATTGTTTTCTAGGGGCAATGTATTTTTTTCAGGTATATTCTAATTAATTTTAGTTGGTCGTTTTAATAAAAATACACGAGCTCCATAAATACCGTGAATTTTGATTCACTATATAATGTAAATCCTTATCTACAAGCATCATAATTTTGTTAATGTATAGAAATACATTTCTAAATGTTTATTTAACCAAAGGTTACCTAATAAATTCTTAATGAAAATACCAATGATTCTTCGATTATATGTAGCACAATTAAATGAACATTGAGTTAACAAAAAAACTTGGAATATTATGTAAAAAAAATAAATACCAATGACTCGATGTACTGATTTAAATGTGTATTTATGAGGAATACCGCAAAAAATAAATATATAAATAAATAAATAAATAACAGAGTTAACAAATTCAACTGAAGTAGATTAATTATGCAATTATATTTTAACTAGTACAACACCCGTGTATTACACGGGTGCTTGCTAATTTTTTTTCTTAAAATTTAAAATTAATGAGAAAAAGTAGTTTGAAAATTTAAATACTTTTTATAAGAATATATATATTATTATATATTTATTATGACACTTTTTATTTGTGCAACTTACTTGTTTATATTATACTAATTTTTTTTTTTAACTTACAATATATAACTACATTACATGTAAATATATCAATTGAGAAATAATTTTATTTTTCTAATGAATTTTAATAAATATTATTATTTTTATTATTATAAAGATAAATATAATTTATTTATTTCATATATACAATATGAATGTCAAATCGAAGACCATCAAAAGATGATTAATTTGATATATTATATACGTAAAACCGATAAGAAATACAAAAGTTATCAACTTTTTAAAATACATTTATAATTCAATAGCTTATTGAAGGAAACAAATCAAAATTCAGGGATATATTAGTCACTTAGTGTCTCACTATGTAAAATTACAAAGAATTAAAGGGTTATATTAGTAAAAGTGATATTAAAATACCTAAGTTAGCTAAATAATATTTATGGAATACCCGAACCTAGATTATTAATTATTAATATATCAATATTATTCATCCAAACCTAATTACGAAGCATGATTCTTCGCTAAATAGGATTCCGAAGCACCAGAAGCAGCCACGTAGGCTCAGCGCATTCGGGAATTATATATAGAGAGGATATTAAAAGGAGGTGAATTATGTAAATATGCAATATGCTATTTAATAAATTGGCCAGTAAACATTATGTAATTTGTATTGAATTTATTGGACCAAATACGTTAATGTGTACTAGTGCGTATCCCGTGCGATGCACGTGTATATAAATTTAGAGAATACTATAATTTGACATGCATTAGATATATGAGAGTCTAATACATACGAACATTATTCATCATACAATGTTGATCACGAAAAAATTTTATATTATTAAAAACCTCTTTGTACACAACTTTATGAGATTGATTTTTGGGTAACTCGTTGTGAGGAGCACGGGCCGACTCCGACCGGACGCAGGCTGCACAAAGGGCTGTGGAAACTGGGCCTCACTCAACTGGGCTCCCTTGCTAGGCTTCTCTCTTGGGCTGCGGATGCTGATTGTTGTCGTAGAAAAAATTGCCCCCACGCTTGGACTACTTTTCTAATTTCCAACTGTATTATAAATTATATTTTATTCATACTTTAACTCTTTCATTCCTATTCTATGTAGATAGTTATTTTACATCCCCAGTTATACTAATAAAGTATATTTTTAGTTTTGAATCATATAACTTCCTTAATAGTGAGTTGAATAATTTATAGATTAAAACATAATTTAATGATTCCCTCTAATTTATCTCCCCTCTCCCTTTTTCATAATCTGTATTTCACAATTTTCTCCAAATAAAACAAAAATTACATACAACAATTATTAGGTTGACCATCAAATAAATCAAAATAACTGTAAATAAACGTAAACTTTTCCTTAATAATTTCTATATATTTTTTTGAAAATATTAACTGCAATGTTTTCAGGTTCGACATAAAATTAGTTTGTTTCTTTTTTATTAATTGTTTATGAATAGGCTATCTATCTTAATTTTTGTTCAAAGTTATCATTGATATGTGTTTTAGAGATATAAAAGATGACCTTTTCTTTAGTAACTAACTACAAAATTTAAATGATTTTTTGTTACAGCTACTAACATCTTTTTGTTTGTTTGAATTTCTGTTGAAATGTGTGAGCGGATATTAAATAACAATTTTGAGTCAATAACTTGATTACTTTTCATAATTAAGATCCACTCCCCCAAAAAATAAATTCAATAATTTTATTTTGGGGGAGTGGATCTTAATGATGAAAAGTAGTCAAGTTATTAACTTGAAAACAATCGTAAAGTAAAATAACATTAACAATTAGTATTTTCATTAAGTATGAAAACAATCGTAAAGTAAAAGAACATTAACAGTAATTTAGAGACTATCATTTACATGCCTTGCATATGAAGCCCAAGCGAAACACAATTGCACTCTTTGCACAGTCCAAACAAAATCTGATTAATTTAATTTCGGCACAAATCTATTAAATTTTCGAATGAGGCTAAGATTGGAGATTGGGTCGTAGATTAAGATTGGAAAGTTTAACATGAGTTTATTTCGACTAATGTGTAAGTTAGTTGGGTGGAGATCTTTTAAACATTTGTTGCTAAAGAAATGGTAATTCTCTCTCTCTCTCTCTCTCTCTCTCTCTCTCTCTCTCTATATATATATATATATATATATATATTATATCCAAAATCATCAATTTCATTCCAAAAAAAAAAAGAAAATTCATTTTGAATAGAGAATTCCTTACTTTAAGGGATTATTTGTTTGTTTAAATATTATCCAAGAATTTCAATTTTGTTCAAAAAAAAAAGGCAGTGTAAATTCTATCCAAAATTGAAACGGGGCGTGATTTTCGTGAAGTTTAAGTAATTAAAAAAAATGGAAATGCAATGGCTGTTCGATAAAATAATAAACATCTTATCAAAAATTTGAATTTTGGGTAAATTTTAAAATAGTTTGATTAATAAATATTAATCTCTTCGTAATAGGAGATTTTGATGTTGAATATACTAAGCTTTGATTTTTTCCAAAAATATTCAAGCGGCCGCAATTTTAGACCAAAAAAATTGTTACATTTAGAAAACATTAAATGCTTTAACACATGGATAAAGGAATGCTAAAATCTTGTAATAAAAAAAAAGTTACCATTAAAGGAAAGTAATAAATGTATTGACCAAAGTTGACCTGCCATTTTTAAAAAATGGTAAATCTTATTATATATATAGATGAGATTGGCACAAGGGAAGCAGGCTACACAATTGGGCCAAAAATTCAGCCCTCACTTTAGGCTCCATTCGAAACCCTTTTTTTCTTACACGATATGCACTTTACCTGTTCGACCAAATGCCTCACAGAAAATCGAACTTCCACTGTTCCACATAAAAGGTCAAAAAACTCCCATATTTTCCTTCTTTTGATGATACATAAACTAACCAACACAAACAAGAAAACATCACAAATCTAACCAAAGTTGAGCCACCCTCTAAAAAGGAAGAAAAACTGTCAAGAGTTAAAAGCATCAAATCTTGCTCCTCATCCTTACCAGCTTGGCCAGCGTCTCCTGAGCCGCTAGCGTCTGCCCGTGATTATGCCCGAGCATCACCGTTCTTATGCTAATGCACGTCCGGCAAAGCTCCTCCCCACTGTCGAAATTCCCCCCTCTAATCAGCAGCTTTGCCCTCGTCTCCAACAGAGCTGCTTTCAGCAGAGTCACCTCTTGCCACACGTGCTCGTCTACCCCACTACTTTCCCCTCCCGATTTCTTCTTCTTCCAGCACAAAGACCCGTGACACCAATCCTGCAGTTGGCAAACGAACGACTTCTCGATTTCCTCGAGCACGTTCGTGCACACCTTCAGCAGCTCCAACGCCGAGTTACACCGCGAAAATGCCGTGAAAGCTTGTATAGCCAGCGGAATCGCGGTTCGTTTTATGAAAAGTACCATCTCGGCCGGCTTGAGCTGGACGTGCGGTGGCTCGTTTTTGAACCCGAAAACGAGAAACGCCGTGGCCCACATATGGTCCGGTGTTATGATCGGGCTCCCGATTTTCCTCACCCCTTGTACCGTGGCCTTTGCGGCTGACGGGCCGCCCCGCGGCCCGCCGTATCTCCATTTCGCAAATTCTCGGGCGGTCGGGTGGAATTGGATCCATAGCTGCCCGGGCTGCCCCACCCGGATGGCCCGCCGGGCCAGCCCGAGCCGGACAAGGAGTTGGGCCGAGTCGTTGTCCCCTCCGCACTTCCACGTCTGGCCCGCAAAAAAACACGAGAGTGCGGGCCCCACACACTCGGCCCATTTCTTCCTCCCGTTGGATGAAGGCACGTGGCTGGCCGCGGCCGCTAGCAAATCTGACGGGACGGGGCCCGGCGCGAACCATGGCCCAACCCGGAGCATCCTCGACGATAGGGCGTTGCGGGCCCCACCCGTCCGCTCCAACACGTCGGCACAAAAGGATAGGACTTTTGTCAAAAATGGGCTCGTCGGAGGAGGACTTTCGTCGACTTGGACCCGGGAGACTGCCTCGAATAGGGCTGAGGGCCCGATCGAGAGCTCGGAGAGCAACGAGCCCACGACCGAAATCCCGAAGCCCGACCTACCCAACTTCTCGTCGAATTTCGCTAGAAAGGCGAGCTCGTCGGTTGGGTACTCCCTCCTCCGCCTCCCCCGGATTAGGGTCATCGCCTCGGGGAGCGGCAGCGGGTGGAGGTGCATCGGTTCAAGGGTCATCACTCTCGAGAGACGGGTCGCGATGATGACGTTGGTCCCGCCCGTGTTCCTCGGGATGAGGTCGTGGAGGTCTTTACCTTCCCACCACTCTTTCTCGCTCTCCAAATTGTCGATCACGAGCAAGTAAGGCGTGTCGCGAAAGAGCTCCCTTTTGACCCGTTTGAAAGCCTCCGATTCTTGTTCGTCGAAGCTACGGATTCTTCCTCTATCCCTCTCCTCCTCAGCACTTACGTCTAATCCCATGCTTACGGATAGATTCAATATGTTCTGCCGAAAGTATCTAGATTCGCCTCCGACCCAAAGGACCATCTTGTACCTTTGTGAGTAACGGTAAGCGAATTCCAAGGCCAGCTCGGTTTTCCCGATGCCTGGCGACCCATTTATGCACACGATGCTACTGCAGCCGAAGCTTTTGTACTTACCGCTCTTCGTCTTTTTGTATTTCGGCCTTTTAAGTGAGCTACGGCTGATGACGGGCTCGACCCATGCCTCAAGATTCGGTTCCCGGCACCTCCCGACCTCCAAGCTAATGTATTTGCCTTTGGCACCGTCAGCCTCACTCTCTCCATCGGCAAGCCCGTCTGATTGTCCGGGTCCGGGCTCAGTTTTACCGCTATGAGAGTTTCCGTTGTATTCTTGGTCCCAATAGTCGCCACACCCAAAAAATGCCGATTCGATGTCCATGAGCTCTTTTTCTCTCCCCAAAAAGTGTTTATTTCTCGGGAATGGCAGCTTGTCGTGGGTGTCGGGTTCTTTTCCGGCGACACTTTTTCGTCCGAGCTTCGATCTCAGTATCCCGGCGGCTCTGTTCACGCAGTTTCTCCAGTTGCCGTCGTTGGCCTCGAGTTTGTGTTCGTGGAATCTCATGAGGCCGTCCAAGGCGTCCTTGAACTCCTTGTTGCCGGTGTGGGGGTTGAAGATTCCGGCTATGTCGCCGGCGTCGGTGTCGAAGAACAGGGGGATGAGGTTCTTCTTCTGGGCGAAGAACCGGATCTCCTCCAGGGTGAGGTGGTTGAAGAGGCTGGCGGCGGTGATGACGACGACGCCGTGAGCGACGGAGGATATGACCCTGTCGGCGATTTCGTGACTCTGGTTGTCGGAGTATCTGGCTCGGTCGGCGACGAAGCAGGCGATGCCTTGGATTTCGAGCTCTGATTTGAGCCACTTGCAGAGGCGGACGAGATTAGGGTTCTGGCCGTGGTACCCGATGTAGACGTCGCAGCTCCGGAGCTTGGCGTTCGAAGCCGGCGAGACGGAGCCCTTGGCGAAGGAGATTCTTGGGATCTGGAACGAGAACGAAATCCGCGGCGCGGTCTCCGCCGCCGCCGCTGGTTTCTCCGGCGGCGGCGTGTGGGAGGTGCTGGGGAGGTCGTCGGACTGGGAGCCGGAGCAAGAGACCGGCGGGGAGGGGTGTGTCAGGGAGGTCGCCGGCGTGGGGCAACTCCCTTCGCCAGGGACGGGGGTGTCTCCGGCGTCGGCGACAGAGGAGACCGCCCGGGGGGAAATGTACGGAGACTGCAGGGCGGACACGAAGGCCGACGACGGCGGGGAGACCAACGGAGAGTTGTACGGCGAGGAGGACACCGAGCTGCTGGCGGGTTTCTTCCCGCCGGCGTTTGCGATCTTGATAGTGAGGGCCTTGGTGCTTGCTTCTTCATCCATGGTGGAGGTAAAACAATTTTGTTTTTCTTGAAAATTAAAAATGGAAAATAACAATTTTTTTATTTATTTTTTTCAAGAATGCCAAAAAATGGCTAGTTTTGATGAAAAATCACAGGAAAAATGCCATGTTCTGAGACTGTGAATATGAAACCAACAGTGTAAGCTTTTGAACAGAGAGCATCAAATGTATCATCTTCTTAATCTTCATCTTCATCTTCTTCACACAGTGGGGCCTCTCACAAATCAGAAAGAGCCCTCTTCATCTTTTAACTGTTACAAGAATGTATCAGACTAATTAGTGCCAACTGCCAAAAGGGCCAAAAAAATGTACAAAATAAACAAGTGAAGTCATCATATAAACAAATGCAAAAAAGACATTTTTTTTTTTAATTTTTTTTTTACAACTTTGATTTTGTTATCATGGTGAACATTGTGAGACCATCATTGGCAAAATGAGAAGACCCTTTATGCTTAAAAACAAGATATTAACATAAAAATTTGATCTTTTTCTCTTTACCTTCAATTTTTTTTTTTTTTTTTTTTTTTTTTTTTTTTTTTTTTTTTTTTTTTTTTTTTTTTTTTTTTTATCTGTTCACTTGAAGTGAAGGCTGAAGATTAGAGTTGTGGGTTGACCCCTTTTTCCCTGTAATTCAACAGAGACCATTTTGTATTTTACTCTCTCTCTCTCTCTCTCTCTCTCTCTCTCTCTCTCTCTCTCTCTCAAGAACAGAACTATATGGGTTGGAATTATAGGATGGGATCTATAAGGTTTTTTAAACATAAAATAAAAATAAAGGTAGTAAATGCTTCAAAAGGAGCTGCAGAGTAAATGTTTTCTGCTAATATTCTATAATGTTATTAATTTTTACTCCCTCCTTTTTTAAATAAATGTCGTTTTAACTTTTTTTGATTCATCCATTTTGCTATGTATTAATGTCTAGATACATAGCAAAATGGATGAATCAAAAAAGTCAAAACGAGATTTATTTAAAAAATGAGGTAGTAATAGATTTGGCCTTGGGCTAGGTGTGTATTGCTTTTTGTTTTTTGTGTTGTATGATTATATCTACCCAAGTTTAAATTACAGTAAAATACTACACATATAGTGATCAACTTTTTGCCCCTTTTAAGTTGAAGAAGCCAAAGATTGGTCAGAGAGAACTACTAGGAAAAAGGGCATTGGGTTTTGGAAACAAAACATCAATTCAAAACTAATAAGGGGCTAAAAAAAAATAATAATAATAATAAAATAAAAAATACTAAAGCTATTGAATAGAAACAAGAGAATATTTTATTTTATTATCATGTGAAAATGCAAAGTAGGTTTTCCTCTCCTCTGGTTGTGAGCACATCTGACATATATATTGTGCCAAATTATTTTGCACTGGAAATTGGGCCAAGACCAGTCCAACTGAGGACTGACCTATTCATGAAAAATTGGACTTCATCAAAAAAAAAAAGAGAAAAAAAAAAATAAATAAATTTTTTTTGGAAGAGCTCATATTGTCATATGGCAAGTTCTTTTTGCATATTTTGATGATGAAGAGTAGTATATGATTAGTTTGTAATTGCACCAAAAGATTTAATTACTGAGCTCCTAATGAAAATTATGAGTGCTAAGCACTTTCTTTTTGAAGAAAAAAAAAATATATACATTGTGAGTGCAACCATAACCTACCCGGGAGATTCTACGGTCCCGTTACAGAACCATTCCGTCGGGGTTTATAACCGTTAAATCAACTATCCACGACAGTTACATGGTAATCCAACGGTTACAAATCTTGACGGAATGGTTCCGTGACGTGACCGTAGCATTTGTATTAAAATTTGAAATTCTCCTACCACAGAATTTGCTTTCATTGTCCCTTCATAATTAATCCAATTGTGACCGTTTGTTGTTAGTTAATTAAAATCTAACCAATAATAGTTATTAACCAAGTGCACAGCAATTAGGGATACAATTATGTAAGCTAACTATAGCTAATTAAGAACCATATATATGTGATTATTTTTCCTCAAGATGAATTTAATTTCAACTGCAATTGTTTTCTATTAACTGCTAACAATGTCTCATGCATTTTTTTGTGGCTTTGTTTATTTACTAGGGGTACGAGTTCTGACAAGTTTTTTAATGCAAATTTCATACAATAAATTAATATTTAATTATTTAATTATTTGATCTATTCAGATGAGTAATTCAAGACAATTTGAGTAAGTATAAAAGTTTCTGGGCTCATAACTCTAAATAATCAAAACATGGAATTAATCACAAATCATAGGGCATTCAAAAAAATAAATAAATAAATAGATAAAATTATGGTTTGATAAAAGCTGGACAGAGATCAATTTAAACTGAATTATATGACTTGCACTGCATGTACTTTATGATCATAAGGGTGTCTCCAATGGTTAGCTATTTGGCTAGCTATTATGACGTGGACAAGGGAAAAGTAAGAGAGAGAGTAGTCACTAGCTACTAACAAATAGCTTATCTATTTCACGTAACCCAAGATCATGTGAGAGGAGTATGTGGGTCCAATAGTGTAAAATAGTCATTTTTCTTATCTCTCACATCCACGTCAGCTGACTATATAGCTAGTAATAGCTATTACCATTGGAGATGCCCTAATGTCTCTTCCGGCTTTTGCACTTAATGATATGAATTATCTAATAAGCTCAAAATTCATTGACACAAATGTTATTAGTTGTAATCACGCTGCAAACGATTCGAGAATTGGCCTTATCGAGTAGGATTGAATTTTGTTTTAACTGCTCGAGCTCGGTTTTTGAGGCTCAAACTCGACTCAGATAAAAAATCACAATAGTTCGAGCTCGGCTCGAAAATTATTAACTATAAAAGTAAAATTACCATTAATCACTTATGCTAATATATAAGGGGTATTTTAGTAACTTCACATTTATCTCGAGTCGCTCGACACTGCAAAATATTAGCTCAAACTCGACTCGAGTTCGTGCTCGAGCCGCTCGAGCTCAACTCGAGTTCGGTCAAACTCGAGCGAGCAGCTCGCGAGCCACTCAATTTGTTTGCACCCCTAGTTGTAACATAATCTAATAGTTAGGGTGATTGACCAATCGTAATTTTGGAACAAAAACACGTACTTATCTTATCCTGTAAAACATTGTTTTTCATATATTATTCCAAAATTAGGAAATTACATATATATATATTTTTTTTTGTACAGGGACCTTCTGGTTTTCGGATCCATAAGAGAACCGATTAATTCGGAATCAAGCTGGGTAGGACCACAAGGGCGGCAAAGCTCTCCCTCAAGAGTTTTAACATTACTGCATTCCTAGAGCTCAAACACGAGACCACTGGTTAAGCTGGAAGAGACCCAAGTCATCTCATGCAAACGCTCTTGGGTTTACATATATATTATTTGCATATATCTTGAGATGATGAACATAATCTAGTTGTCATTGTCACCCACTAACCTTGTTCTCAAATCCTTAATTAATTATTTTCTTAATAATTGTCATTAATTAAATAATAGTATGCCTCTGCCGGCAACCTGGTTGCATGTGGCTCGAAGACTTGCAATTTTTTATTTTTTTTTTCAATTATATAATATAAATATTTTATTATTCTTTTTTTTTTTAGTAATAGTGATGGCATGAGGTGTAAATTACTAGACTCACACGCTCCAAAGTCTTCGTTTCATTGAATCTGTATCCATTATTGGTCGGTGATGTGAATTGTAAGAATTGCTTTTCAAAATAATTAATGGAAGTAAATAGCTCTTTTTGCTATTAAAAAAATGAACCCAATAGCTCTTGGATGAAATAGTTTGGGTCTCTTCCAGCTTAACCAGTGGTCTCGTGTTCGAGCCCTGAGAATGCAGCAATGTTAAAACTCTTGAGGGAGAGCTTTTAATTATTACTTTTTATAGTAGACGAACAATACCATATAGTATAAGGAGAAAATTTAATTATTACTTTTTATAGAATACTAACATTTTGCATTATAACCTTGATTAATTAAGTAGCAATCAATGAACTATAATAATAAATTTGAATTTGAAGTCTATCAATTGGAATAGTTGGCTAATTTATAATTTGCTTGAGAGTTGAGAAAATAAATTATAAAGCATTGTCTAATTCATTCTAAGATTTGTTTAATTTATTTTTTGAGAGATGAAATATTTTTTTGTGTTGTACTAATTCCGTTTATTCATTCTAGGATTTATTATAACGTATATGAATTTTTTTGTAAAATAATCATTGAGGTTCTTTGTTTTTTGGTTTTGTTGGAAATGAAAACTATACTAGTAGATATCCTGTGCACATGCAAATATGTACATAAAATATTAGTAAGTAATATTTGAGAATTTAATATTAAAATTCTAGATAATGAACATATTACATTTTAAAAAATTTGATCATTAGGAAAAATAAATTAACGATTTTATTATTATGAACAATTGTTTATTATCTTTAGATAATAACAGTTTGATTATTATTATTATTATTATTATTATTATTATTAAAAAAAATTATTTATAAGATTCTATGTTGTTTGACTATGTTATTAAAACAATTTACTAATGTTTTTTAAATAAATTTTTTCACAAGATACAAAAGAAAAAGATAATATTGATGTTAATATAAATAACTTGAAATAATTATTTATAATTATGTAATATATATTTATTGTGAATTATTATTAGTTGGTATTAGCAATAACTATTATATAATATAATAGAAAAATACATGATTACACTTAATAGGATGTGTTAATGTGAGAAATAAAAAAATATTAATCATAATTTTTTTAAATGAAAACAGAGAGAAAATTTTAGAGGTTTTATCAAATATGTAAAATTAAGTGTTAAGCTAGCAATTATATATATATATATATATATATATATATATATATTATTAATAAAAAAAATGTTTGTAAGATTCTAAAGTTTTTTAACTATGCTATTAAAATAATTTACTAATTGTTTTTAAAGAAATTTTTTTATGAGATACAAAAGAAAAGGATAATATTGATGTTAAAATACATAACTTGAAACAATTGTTTATAATTATGTAATTTATATTGGTTCTAAATTATTATTAGTTGGTATTAGCAATAATTATTATATAATATAATAAAAACATACATGATTACACTCATTAAGATGTATTAATATAAGAAGTAAAAAATATTAATGACAAATTTTGTAACCAAAATGGAGAAAAAAATTTAGAGGTTTTATTAAATGTTTTATTAAATGCTACATGCCAACAATTATATATATATATATATATATATATAGGGATTGGATCCAATGAGTCCACATATTTAAAGTGTGAATGTGAGACCCATTCCTAGCCATTAGATTGGTACATTATGTGTGACTAAGATTAACTCTTCAATTAAATAATAATTCTTTATTTTTATTACTTATTTCTTTATTTTATTATTTTAATTATTTAAATATTATTTTGACAATTGACCATTGACTTCGGCGTTGACCGTTGACTCCGGCGTTGACCGTTGACTTCCGGCGTTGACTTCCGGCAAAAATCGTTGACTTCCGGCGTTGACCGTTGACTTCCGACGTTGACTTTCAACATTGACCTTTGACCCTTAGCATGCATTGTGTATGAAGAAAATATGCGTCAGTACTATGCACTTAGTATGAACTAAATATGCATCATAAATGAATTATATATGTTATCCTTATGAACTAAATATGCACCAGTAATATCAACTATGTATGCACTGTTTATTTACTAAATATGCACATTTTACTAACTAAATATGCATCAGAAATGAACTAAATATGCAACGAAAATATGCAATAAAATATACGTTTATACAATTAAATTAAATATAATAATTAATGATTTTTATTATATAATGAACTTTAATTTTAAATTGATTAATAACACAAATAAATTGTTATGATTGGATCTCAAATAAAATAGGTATGCATTGTTCATGAACTAAATATGCATTTCGTATGAACTAAATATGTATCATGAATTAAGTAAATATGCATAATAAATTAATTATATAAATATTATTATATATTTAATTTAAATATAACAACGATGCATTTCGTATTAACTAAATATGCATCATAAATTACCTAAATATTCATAATAAATTAACTAAATATGCATCATAAATCACCTATATAAAATGTACATTTTATACAAT